AATCACTCCGTCTTGACAGTGCACGCGGGGTACAACCTCAGGCACTCTTTTTGTTCCTGGCCGTCCCTAGCTGCTTGGACGTATCGCTGAAACCGCACTGAGGCTGAATTGGGTACAACCGGCTTTTGAAGCTCATGAGCGTCCCTGTAACAACAACAACACGCCCCCGTCAGGACACCAGAAATGCCATTCTCAGAAACCACCACCTACACCAAATGAACAACCAGACACCACATAACAAGTATATATTAAATCTTGTCCGTCTAATCACAATAAATTCTTATTAAATATTAAAATATTACAATAATTAACATTTAAAATATTTAGAATATTTAAATGTTAATTATGATCCCAACATTTCAGTTTTTAATTAATATATAATAATATATATTATATTAAAATAATAAATTGAATTAATTTCTGTTTAGCTCTTTAAATATGTATATAATTTGTATTTATTATAATTTGTTACCATCAACCCTTATTCCTTGATTTATTTGTTGTCAACATATACATTTCAGCCTGAAGCCATAATCATTTTTTTTCATTTTTTTTTAAATATTTATCAGCCTGAAGCCATAATCATTTTTTTTTCCCCTGTGTAATAATGTTTTGCACGCAGATTTAATTTTATATGTTACTTTCCTTCACACAGTATATGAAAGACTATGTTGATTGCTACTAGTAAGATACTGATTTATAATATTAGTTATTTTTTGTTAAGTTATAAATATTTTCTTCCTCTATTGATATTCTGTTGGTTATCTGTTATTTTAATTATGAGCTTTTTCTGTTCTGTTTATTTGAATTTCTTCTGAAATTCTGTGTATAATTGTTCATTAGTTATTTAAATATAATATTAATACACATTGTTGTTTAAATTGTAGTGATCAATATAGTTATGTAACTGAGGAAGGCCAGTGGTGGTGGTTTGTGTACAGGGTAATGAACATTCATGTTTTGTTAAAGGTAAGTCATTTCTTGACAAGCTTAGTGAGCAAGAGTCAGCTTTTCAAGGACTCTACTGCAAGGAGTTAGTAAATGGAAGACAGTGTATGAAATTAAATCTGTGTAGAAGATTTTGTAGCACAGTGAAAGAAATTATGTTGTTTGGCAACCCGAAACATGTATGCCAACATCACATAGATGAGTGAATAAGCATTGATGGTGGTGAATTGTAATAACTTTTTATCTACTTTTACAGATTCAATTTAGTCCTTGTGCCCAATATGTCACCAATCCAAAGGTGACAGCTGGCAGCATGCAGTTAACCTGGCAGGCCCGTGGAGGCCCTGGACGTCAGCACAATGTGCTCATGGAATTGCAGCTGAACAAGGTAAGTTGAACAATGAGATGTAAAGTAGGTGCCGTGCCACTTTCCAAAGGTCTGGGTTTCAGGTCCTTTTGTTGCATTTACCCTGAGGGCAGCCAAGCGCCAGGTCAGAGAAGAAGACCCTAAATATTTACATTTTCTTTCCTGTGTATTGTTGTATTATAAGTTCTGAAATTTGCATAGTTTGTATTTGTGACATTTAGTATATCTCTTACAGTTTGAAAATCAAAACTGTACAGAAATGTGAGATATTCAAAAATATTGCAGGCTTCATTGATAAGATACATTTGTGAGAACAACTACAGGAATAAAATGGGAACAGTTCATATGACAAATAAATAGAATAAGGTGGTTGTTGCTTTAGCAATACTTAAATTAGTTCTCAAGAAGTACAATGAAAATTTTGATGTCTGTTTTGCAGATGTGGAAATCATAAAACCACATCACACCTTTTTATATATATATATATACACACGCGCGCACGCGAGTGAGATGTATAAGATCATAATTCGCTCCATATAGGACAATGTTAACATTCCTCATATAATAGGTTTGCCCAGAAAGTTCAAATAATTTCTGATTAAATTTTTTACATATATTTCTTAAGTCATGATCTTACAAATTATGTTAAGGAGTCATTATAGCATAGTCTGTAAAACTGATTGTCTGTGGGCTGAACAGCTGCGGTTTCTTTGTCGCCGTCCAGACCACCTCCACTGCCCACCGAACCTCACATCTAACATATATTTTCCTCTAGGTAAAGTGGCCAGGGGTTGGAACTGACAAGTTGTATCCATGTAATGCACACAGGGATAAAAGTGTCCCTGCATTACAAAATAAATAGTAGTATAATTTATTATCAAGAAAGGTTATCTAAGTCATATTCACGTCATGTATAATCCTTGCCATCTCTAATGCCACGTTCTTAATTATATGTCCAGGTTAAGTTCAGGCATGAGGTATATCCTGATAATGCCAAAGAGGCTTCTCGACAGATTCTTTTGGTCAGTGATGTGGAGGTTAGGGACCGACTTGCCTCATCACAGTTCAACAAATTTCTTTACCAACATTCGAGTGAATCCAGACCCAAACAGTCACATGCAAATATGGTAAGATGAATTATTTTATTACAATGCAAATAGGTTCATTAAAATTTATTGTTATTGTTGTGTAAGAATTTGTAGGTCAGAAGATCTCCGTGGATCTTACTTAGTCCAGGACCTGAAAGATGAAGTTTGTTACTAATTATTGAGCCATTGAACAGAATCTCATTGCATAATGAGGAGGTACATAGTTTCTGCTCTTCACAAGGTACTGTTAGGATTATCAAATGATGATGCATCATCATATTCTGTGTAAAAGTTGATGCCATTTGTGTCTGGGTTTGGTGACCTGCACTTGGGGGATAATGTCATTACACAGGACTCCTCACGTTCTTGTGCGGCTGAGAACTCCCCATGCAGAAATAACCTAGTTAACTGTAGTAACCGTGGCAACTAAAGTAACCAAGGTAGCCTGCAGATTCTATACCCAGTCATTTCGATATTCAGAAATGCATGGTACGTCTTATCATGTAAAATGTGTTATTCTTATTCAAATTTACACAGGATTAAAATGTATCAGTAGACTCTGATAAAAGTCTTGTAATATTTAAAATTTACCATTTCTCTTTTATATAATAAAATGTAATTTATCTACAAAAGAACGATACCTTTCTCTGTTTCTGATGTATGGGGAAAGCTTGTTAAAGTAATGATGCTGTGATTTGGACAAGTGTTATACATGGATGCCAACAGAGTTTCTTTGAGAGCTTCAGAAATGGAGATGTCAGGTAAATGACAATTGGGAAGGCAGAGACAAACAAGAAGATATGCTTAGGGAGGGAAGATACACAAAAGTGAGCATGGAAAGCGTGGGCACATGTACAACATGAATACGTGTGGGAGGGAAAAACAATGGACAAGGCTTTGTCATAGGACATTCCCTCCTTGTGAAAATGGTAATGAATGAAGAAATGTTAATAAAATCTTCTCGGGCGATCAGCCGCATCCAATGGTTAAACAATAAAACTGACAGTCCCTGAAACGTCAATTTTATTGTTTAACCATTGGACGCGGCTGATGGCCCGAGAAGATTTTATTTAGTTACGTCGCGGTGAAAGCTTCAAATCATATATTATAACCGATCTCCCTTTTAATTTGTTCTGGTTATTGGTTGGGCACCAGTGGACCTCTTGTGTCCATGAGAGATGTTTGATCAGGGTAGCTCCAGCCAGTAGAACACATTGCATGTACACTCAGGTTAGTGTAATGGCCGAACTCACAATGTCACAGTGAACACTCGGACTTATGACACAATTGTAGGTTTTTAACAAGCCCAGCTTTATTGTTATAAATTGAAATTAAACTGTACACAAATGTTCACACTGTCTATATCACTTACTAAATCACACAAGTACACTTCGCCTTTGCCGATGTATGCAGTTCCAATATATTTCATCAAATTTGTTATAAATTTTGATAGTTATCGAAATTAGTACAATTTCCAATATAAAGGCCGAATTGTGGCTGAGCAGTTTGCCACCGACTTACTTTATGTCCAAAACCGAAGAGCCAAGAAAAATCTGCACACACGATGAAGACCCTCAGCTCTCCAAAACCAGGGGTACCTGCACCACTTCCTTGCTTTTGATTGGATCCCCTAATTTTGGGACCAACGCCCAAATTTTGTAACAAAGGGGTCTCATAGGCCATCGGTCAACCCCGTTATTACAGGTAGTGCCATTAGACTTTGCCTTACCTTAAGATTTAACAAAAGAACACTTTTAGCTAGTACGCAGTGCCATCCATCCGACGTGTCTCATCTTAAGATTTAACAATAGGGCTTAGCTCTTAAGCGAAATGCTACACAAAGGAGGTTCCGTAGTGTAGCGTCGTAGCATTCCTAGGCAATTGAACAAAAGAGACCTTTCATTAAGGTAGCTTCCTTTCTCCTCACAAGCGGATGTGCTACAGGGGCATGCTTCCGACAACCTGTCGTCAATAATCAACTAACTTATAATTAACATACAGAATTATGTATAAAGTAACCTTATATCTATCTGATAACAATTCATTACTTGGGTTAACGTACTAGGATGAATAAGATGCCTTAAATTAATATTAAAATAAATAAAATCTTATTGACCGAAGGTTCGGACGACTACAATATGAAAAAATGTTAGTTTTGTTAGAAATTAGTGAGTCTTTAGGACTTCATTATGTGAAGCCAGACAATAAATATGCTATAACCTAAACTGTTTGGGTAGCAAACTCTAATTCATAAGCCTTTGCATTATTACATCATGTAGTCTTGTGGACATTTACCAACATTGCAGACGAACCTAGACATCTACCATGAAGATGGAGGTAATCAGTTTTTCCAACCTCATACCAAAACTGTCTGGGATCATAACCCAGCGGACCACAACCAAAATTTTCACCACTGTGAAAACATCAAATATTGTATGTTACTTACTGCTTGTGTTCTCATATTCATATGATGTCCGACAGCCCTGTTTTTTTCTTTCACTTGCAGATTAGAATCGTGGCTGTGCATGTACGCCCAGACCCCAAGTTGACTGTTCAAGAATGTAGTCTCAAAGTAACATTGCTTCCCTTAAGGCTCAACATAGATCAAGATTCCCTTCTGTTCTTGTTTGGTTTTTTCACTGACATGTCCAGACTAAAGAAGAGTAAAGGTCTGTATTATGATTTGTCATGTTCTTTAGTTTCTTGCGTCTGACGTACTAATACAAGAAATATGGCAAGTGGCATCCTTCACCCACAAGCAGTTCATTAACGTTACATGTGGACAGAGAATTTGCTACATACAGGTTATGATAAAAATTCTTACTGAAATAGTCATCATTGGAGTGGTTTTAGTCTGGAAGAATTTTGCAGAATGGCACATGAATCTGGTAATTAGGAAATTAGAACAGCAACTTCAAAGTGGATATGAATGCAGACCAGTCACCAGGTGAGACAAGTTGAAAATGTAGTTCTTGATGAATTGATGGTTATAACAAAGAGTTTATGAAACTCTAACAGCTCTTATCACAGCTACAATAAACTTTATAATGACTCTGAAACACTTGGCTGCATGATTGTACACATACTTTATTACTTTGCCGACTTACTTACTTTCTTTTCTTTTTAAAAAAAAGAAAACAGAAACCTGAAAGAGCTAGTTTGTGTGTGATCCTCTATAGTTTTTGAAAGCTGACAATAATCATAAACCAATTAAAATGTCCAATGTTTTGAAACAGAAGATGGTACTGTCCAGTGTTACACTCCACGTCACAACACGCCAACACACCAGGCACCTGTTATGACAGTGAATGTTGCTGGAGGGTCTAGGACACCTTCCCCCGAGCCTCCAACTTTTCTCATTCAGTTGGAAGAAGACGCTAACAAACAGGATTCAGATCGTGTGAGTGCGCTGCCATCAGCAAACCAACAACTGAATGACAGACCTCCAACACCTCCAATATTCTTCAGGTATGTAAAGAAATGAATAGAAGTATTTACATTGTAACAGTTGTTGTTTCTTGGTTCTACAACCCGGTTGTGGGTTTTTGCCGCCTCCTTTTTGGAGGTTTGTGTTTCTTGAAGTGTGCATTTATGAGCAGTGAGTGACCAGCCCACTGCCTCTGCACAATTTCTACTCAATCCTGATTTTGACTGCCAGAGCCATCTAGCAGTTAATCAGGAGACTTGGGCGAGAAATGGCTGCTGAATTTTGCATACGAAACATCTCGTATCGTGCTTGTAAGGTTCTTTTACATGCTGTAAATCTACGACATGGAACCGCCGGCTTTACTTCCTCTCTGAAGGAAGTTGTGCTATGGATTTTTATCACCCTTAAAAATCCATCGACCTCGGCTGGGATTGAACCCACAGATCTTGGGTCCAGTGGCAAGCACGCTAACCTTTTACAGGTCCCAACTTTCTGTTGGCTTGATCTGTGGACATTCGGTAGGACTCCTTGGACGAGGGATCGGCCCATCGCAAGGCCTCTACCTGTACACAGGACAGCACAACACAGAAAAACGCAGACAAACATCCATGCCTTGAATGGGAATCATATGGATTTTTATCACCCTTAAAAATCCATCGACCTCGGCTGGGATTGAACCCACAGATCTTGGGTCCAGTGGCAAGCACGCTAACCTTTTACAGGTCCCAACTTTCTGTTGGCTTGATCTGTGGACATTCGGTAGGACTCCTTGGACGAGGGATCGGCCCATCGCAAGGCCTCTACCTGTACACAGGACAGCACAACACAGAAAAACGCAGACAAACATCCATGCCTTGAATGGGAATCAAACCCACGATCCCAGTGACCAAGTGGCACAAGGCCCACGCCTCAGACCGCACGGCCACTGCGGACCCTGGCTCCTTTTTTCATAATACATATATATTAGTCTCATGATGATTACAGATAATTGAATTTGTCATTTGGATAACCCGAAGTCCACTTTTTGAGACAATGGGGTTATTACTACCATGGGAATCAGCAGGTGCAAATGCGTAATTTCCCACGTCAGTCCCTATCTTTGCTGTACGTGAACACCCTTGTCTATCTTCTTTTTCCTGTCAAAACCACTGAAATCCACAGTAACAGGTCGTCCCAGCAATGATGAAAGATTAGTCAATCATTGTTCCTTAAATGTTATGTGGGTACTTGCAAAAGCTGTCTAAGTCCAATAATAACTTTACTTTATAACTATAGATGCAGTAGATATTAGTGAACTATAACTGTATCAAGAAATTGGATACTTGCCTGTTATTCTTGGGGAGGAATAAATGAAGGTTGAAATAAGTAGTGTGTTTGATAGCACAAATTTTTAGTTTTGTGGATTCGTGTGGAAGGAAGCAGTCATGGCCTAATTTCTGCCCTGGCATTTGCCCAGAAGAACTGAAGAAATCCACAAAAAACAGTCAAGTTAGCCAGTCTCTGGTCCTAGATATGAACCTCTGACTTCCCAAATAGAAAGTAGGAGAGCCAACAATAAAAACTACAATATAAGATTTGTTATAGTAAGGAATTTAAGAAAATATGGCATGAAATTTATCTTGAGTCATCACCTTCCTATTGTGCTTGATGCAAATACCCAGTTTGTTGGTAATTTATTGTAGGGTGATCTATGCATGTGTGGCTCGTGTCATCGTGCAGGCTTCTTCCTTGTATCAGAGAGAAGCCTGGGAGAAGGAGAGTGATTGTTCCACTTTTGGTGTTCCTTAGAAACAGCTCGTCATGTGACAAATATAATGTATTTGTGCCATTAGGTTCTATAATTTTTATCTTAAATTTTTGTGTTTGCAGTATGTTTACAAAACACTGTGAAACATTTCTTTTGGTCTTCGAGTAATTTATAACCCATATAGTTTAAAAATATGACATACAGATTTAACATTTTCACAAGGTATTTTTAATTTAATTCTTTGCTGTGACCGCCAGAAAGGGTGAAATATTCCTTTTTGGTGTTCTACTGAAATACTAATTAAAAGAAGCAGTTCTGAGATTAAGGATGGTGATTTCAGGAGCTTTTATTTTTCTCGGGAAGTTCCCATTCGACTAGACTATCAAGGCAAACGAGTGGATATGACTCATGGTCCATTGGCTGGCCTGCTAATGGGACTTGGACAGCTGAACAGTTCTGAACTAAGACTGAAATGTATCAGCTACAGACATGGGTGAGTTGATGATTCAATGCTGATTGTGATTATAGATAATTGTAAAATGCTGGAAAGTGTACTCTCGTACATTGACACAAGTAAAAGTTCAAACTGAATGTAATATAGGGGTTCCATATTATATCAGATACATGTTTTGTCAACTTTTCCTTAAGAGATTTTCCAGATTTGAATACTGATAGAAACCTGGATGTCATGATTGAAAAGTTTTGTGGTTTTCCATAGTTGCTGCAGACAAATTCCAAAATAATGCCTTAAAAAATGCCACAACCACTTCCTCCTGCAATTTTCCATCTCGTTTATAATTATCCTGGCAGTTCTTATGCGCTTGTATAGTTGATGTAACATATTTTAATAAACAGCGTCATACAACGTGGAACAAAATATATGGAAATGTTTTCATCCTGCAAATGTCAGTTGCATTTTAGAACTACGTTTACTATGTAAAGTTTACTACAAGCAGGACTAGAATATAATGCATACAACTCAAATAACTGAAGACCTGACATTTAAATTTCTGTGAATGCATCCATTTATATTTAGTTTTGATCTCTGTGCTTAGTATACCGATGTGTATAATACTGATTTTGATTACTTATGTTTTGGCACCATTAAGTCTTCTTCCTTGATGGATTAGTGTTGTCTTAAAATATCAATTATCATTGAACTGTGATAATTAAGTTTGAAATTTACATCAACTTCATCTGTCAAATGGTAATATCATTTATTTTTAGATTGCTTGGCTTTGACAAGTTGGTAACTTTCGTCTTAAATGAGTGGCTACAAGATATCAAAAAGAATCAGTTACCAAGCCTGCTGGGTGGAGTTGGGCCAATGCATGCTTTGGTGCAGCTATGTAAGTCATGTAAATATAAGTTTGATGAAATATGCTACACTGAAGATGTCAAGGGAAGAGACCACTCAGAAGATCATGGTGTAGATAGTAGGATAGTGTTAAGTACTCATAGACTGTAAATACATGGGCTGCATTCATCTGGCTTAGGGTAGAGTCCATTTGTGGCTTTTGTAGACACAGTAATGAGCATGTTCCATAAAAACTGTAAATTTCTTGATCAGCTGAATTGTTATTAATTTTTTTAAGATATATTGCACCATGGAATTAGTAATATTGCACTTGAATTTTAAAATGAATGATTTTTCTAGGAAACACCATCTGTTGTGTTCTTATTCTGATTTATACTTAATACCCAGGTTATTCTTCATTTAATATATGTTACATATTTCATAACCATATTCTATAAGCAGTTTCAGTGGATAATTTATTCATAATTCTAAATTCCTCTGAATTTTCCTAGTCCAAGGGATCCGAGACTTGTTCTGGCTTCCCATTGAACAGTACCAGAAGGACGGGCGAATTGTACGGGGTTTGCAGCGTGGTGCCAACTCGTTCACTACGTCCACAGCCATGGCAGCACTTGAATTGACCAACAGGCTAGTCCAGGCCATACAGGTAAATAATGTGACTGCTTTATTCAATTCTTCACCTGGAACACTTTCTAGCTTTGTCTGCTGAAGAATTCCAACTTGAACTCTTACCTAACCTAACCTTTATTGCAAATACTGCTGCTTGGAATACAGTGGCATATTGCCCTAACCTGAAGTTAGCCTCTTTCTTGTGCTGTATCCATACGCTCCTGCTGCAAATACCTTCTTTTTCCCATTCAATTTTGTCAGGAAATCTGACCTTGAATGTCTTGTTAAATACATATCTTCATATAATTTAAGTGTAGGGTGGGTTCCTCTTTCATGTCACAAGACATGTTTTTGTGCCTTTGCCATATAGATATGGGCTTCCACTGTTCATTACAATTGAGTTTGTAGATCCCTGCCCAAGCCTCAGCCTCTGTCTTTATCTGAAATGGAGGGAGTTCTAGAAGGATCCATTGGTAGGAGCTGTCCTCATTGTCCCTAGATAGGCACACTTCTACTGAGTTTGGACTAACACCTATGAAACTAGTAGGATAGATACAGGAAATTTCCCTTTTATGTTGACATGGATGTGCATTATCATCATCGACCAACACCAGGCTCCGCAGCGGAGGTGACAGCATTTGGCTGTAGACCACCATGGTTTGTCCTGATAATGTAGTAATTGTGTTCTTGCTGTCCAGCTTGAAGCTAGCCCACCTCTGTGTCAATGAATTCTCCTGATGCTCTTTTCTTGTGTTCCACTGCATTCTCAATGCAATGTGACCACATTATGCAATACAGTTTCACATCAGCTTAGTACGCAAAAGTTGTTTCAGTTGAAGGCATTATTCCTCAATACCTCGCCTCTTATATGTTTGGGCTTTCTTTTGGAACTGCCTCCAGGCCTTAAGAATATAGCCATATGTCATACAAGCTCTGAGTATCCAGTATTGGTTTGAGACCAATTGCTCTATTCCATGTGCTAGTACAATTTTATCTGTCCCTGCCAATTTAAGTAGTTTAAAAGTACCTGTTATCCATCTGATTTTGGATTGATTTATCACCCTTCTGGACAGATTCCAGTCTCCCTGTTCATTCTACATGTCTGCACATCTAGGTGTCTGTCTGTCCAATGAATCAACAATCAGTTCTGAACCTGTCAGGTACCTTTTTAGCAATAAGTGTTGGTCACCTGTTATGCCACGATATTCATTAATCTGACTATGTTTGATACATCTTCAGTCTTCTGACAGTACTGCTGCATATTTTCCTTTCAAGTTGTTATTGTTCTATTTCCAATATTCATTGTGTCATTGTAGAGTACTGCAGAAATGGCATATGATATGGTATCACCTGGTCCAAGTGTTCGGCGGAGAGTACCTGGTCCAAAAGGGAAACGGCGACGTTACAATCAGCCTGCGGATATCAGAGAAGGCATGGCAAATGCCTACATGCTAGTCAAGGAGGTAAGTAAATTTTAAAATCAGTGGCTATTATGAAAAATATATGTAAAAAGTGTCAGCATGATGTCATACATTCAATGTCTCTTTTAATTCTTCTTCTTCTTCTATGGCTCTCCGGTCCGTATTTGGTCCATGGCCTCCTCAATTCTCCTCTTCCATTCGGTCCTCTGTTAGGTCCGTCTGTTGAGGTTTCAAAACATCTTCCTTTTTACGGTGTTAGCCTTGCGACCAACCCCCAACCTGGAGGACCAGGGTACCTGTCTTAGTCTGACCTCTCCCCCTCGACTAATCTGGCTAGGGAGACCCTACCAGTAGCTATGCTACCGCCAGCATAGCTCTTGGAATCACTGAGGTACTCAAGCCCCACCACCACGACAAGGTGCAGGTACCATTAAGTGGGGCTTTTAATTCTTAGTAAGCCATTAAAACAACACTGCCATTATTTTAGGTAGTGTCTGAGCACACCATTTTTACTAATACTATCTCCACTTTTACTTATGGCACATTACTGGAAGACCTGTTAAAAATTCTTGGAGGGGAAAGCTATATTTGAATTTGTTTTAATATCTCACACTTTGATTTATTGTTTAGGCATAAATATCAATGTTGAAAAGGTTGTAACATAATATTTTAACAGTAGGGCTTATTTTTACAACATGTAAGTTCCAAAAACTAAAAATACAATGTTGTGATGCCAGTTAAAATCATTTGTCAGACACTACAAAAGTTTTTGCACAGGATATGCAGTATATTTACTATTTCTAAAATGAATATGATATGTTCCACACTGATTGCATTTTGTTTAGTTATGTGATGGTTTTTGACATTTGTATTCAGAGCTGATGCTGATAATCCAAGTAGCTTTGTGAAGGAAGTGTGAGTCGCCATATGTTTGACAGTGTCCCATTGTGTTTTGAATTTTTGTCCTATTTTTTGCCATCATGGCATATCAAACACACAAATTAAATAATAACAACTAATTTGAAAGGAATCACTCATGGAAAGCTAAAATAATTCTTGCAGTATGGTGACTAACTTGTAAGAGTAAAACTGACTTAATGATGTTGCTGCATAATAAGTTATCCTGTGTGAGAGATTCTAACATAACAGGATTTCCTGCGCAAGACTTTAAAGATATTAAAATATTCTGACTAAAATATTTTCTTGATTTCTTGAGTAAAAGAAAAAATACTGTGGATATACATGATGTCGGAACATGTGTGCTGCTGGTACCTTCACAGCATGGTACAACAAGCACCTTTACTTTTCTGTCCTCTTGTAAAATATTAACAGTGAATTAATTTTCCATCTGCCTTTAATTTCTTACCATCTTAATTATTACAGAATATTAATGAGTGTAGAATTTCTCCTTTAATTAATATATTGATAGAGTGGGCTGTGGATGTATTCTATATAGTGAAACAGTATTTAGCCTCTTTTCCTTATTTTATAAGGAAATGTTTCATGGCGTTGTCATGGCTATGGTCCTTCCAGTACAGATATACATCATAAACATATCTCCATATTTGGAATGAAACATTTTTATGTTCACACTTAAAAAATTTACAGTAATGACAGTGGTAAGATTCTTTGAGCGGCATCATCGAATTAGCATTTGTTTCTTAGTTACGGGCGTTTTGGTAGTGCATTACACCGACCCTCCTGCGCTTTCGGAATGGCGTGTGCATCAAATTTTGCCAAAGACTCGCCAAAACGGCTACGGAAACCTGTGAAATGCTAAAGCAAGCATTTGGGGAGTCCGCAATGGGTCGTGCACAAACTTTTGTGTGGCATTCACGTTTTAAAAATGGCCGAACCTCTGTCGATGATGACGAGCGTTCTGGACGACCATCTTCGAGCACAACGCCCGAAACTGTTACGAAGATCGACGTCGTACCATCAACGATTTGTGCGACATTGTTGGGATAGGCTATGGGACCTGTTAGCTGATTCTAAAGGAAGAACTCCACATGCGACGCATCCTGTCAGAGGACTAGAAGCAGAATCGACTTCTCGTTTGTCAGGAGCTGAAAGATCTTGCAAGAACCGACCCCACCTTCCTTTCTAAGCTCCGTGTGACTTCTTCCTCTTCCCAAAGATGAAAATTCAGCTCAAGGGAAGGAGATTTGAGACGATAGAAGAGATTCAGGCAGAATCGCAGATGGTGCTTGACAGGCTGACAAAGAAAGATTTCCAGGGATGCTTCCAGGCTTGGCAGCAGCGCTGGGATCGTTGTGTTCACTCCCAGGGGAACTACTTCGAGGGTGATGGATGAATTTAATACCTGAGATAAGTGTACGGGTTTTTATACACGCAGTCTGGAAACCTTTCGATCGCACCTCGTATCTGGCAAATTAATGTAGGTGTAATCTGTACTTTTTTAAATTATACATATATATATATGTATTACTAAGTACATTGCATTTACTGATACAGTTGAACACAACTGTCGCTTCCCTGCTTCCAGCTGGAACTGCATTTCTTACTGCCAAGTGCTTTAATGTTTTCCTAAGCTGAGTCAAGTACCAGTCCAATCAGTTCAAAAAATAAAACTAGCTCACCTACTTAATAGCAATTTCTGCTGGGAGTGACAAGTGTTCAGCTTTATTGGTGAACACAATATAGCATAATGGTTAATTTATGATTCTTTCTAGCCTCACCATGTACATTGAAGCATTTAGAGTAAAATGGGTGTCAAGTTGTTTCCAGAACATCTTGTATCACTATAGAATTGTATGTTACAGGGAATCGGCGAAACAGCTCAGACCTTAGTGCGTGTAGCAAGTGAAGAGCACGAGCAAAAAGGAATGTCTGGAGCTGTAGGGGGTGTGTTGCGTCAGATTCCACCCACAGTGGTAAAACCCATTATCCTAGCAACAGAAGCAACATCAAATGTGCTCGGTGGAATGAAAAGTCAGTTAGTACCTGATGCGAGACGAGAAGCCGTTGAGAAATGGAGGAGTGAAGATTAGCGACTCAAAAAGTGATATGCTGTTGGAGTAGAGAGATGATTGGGATAAATACAGGGCTAGTCTATATGATGTTCCCAATTTGAAAGACGTGCTACTCACGTTTAACCTGTTGACGCAGAAAGTTTAAATACCCAGCATATACCGCTGT